TAAATCATTTTGTTGACTTCACCTAAAAGTTTTGATTCCATGTAACCTGGACCCTCCTATTTGCATTTGACTTAATCTGGTCCATGCATTTGAACTCACCTCAATTTGCTCCACTTTTTTCCCAATTGCATCTTCATATTTTTACTTGTCTCAATTGAGTCCTAAAAACTCTTAATATATGACTCGATTGTGTCCATGCATGTTTTAAATGTTTCATTTAAAGCCATTTATACAAAAGAACATTTTACAAGTTGAATAAATTCCTCAAGTTTAAAATATGCAGCTATAGAAGATTGTGAGGTATACGTATAATTTTTTTCACTTCTAACTAAACAACAAATCTTAATCTCTTGTAGATCAATGATAACCTACTTTACCTTTATTTGATTAGGTGGTAACTCCAATTTTTCCAATCATTAGAACTTAATTTTTTAAATTTAATTTATATTTTTGAAATTTTGAGTGGGGTGTCTAAACTTATAACACACTCTCTTAACTTACCCTCACACATATTTATCACCTAAGCTATGTCTATCCTCGCATCTCCTTTTTATATTAATAATTTATTTATTATTCTTTCTTTCCTTATCCTCTTATCTCTATTATTCTTCTTTAGTCAATCGTTACATTTTCATCTATCATTATATTTTTTTTTACCCCAATTTTTCTTTCTATCATTAAATATTTTATGTTTCCTTGATATTACAATAACATAAATATTTTAAAATCACAAATAATTTAGTAATATATGTAATAAATTTATACACATATCCATATTATGAATCTTAACCAATATAAGGTAAAGAACCTATATTATTTCCCTCCATTTCCCACTTCATATTAGCAATTTATTTGTTATTATTCTCTTTCCTTTTATCCTTTCATCTCTATTATTTTTTATTATTTTTTCTTATTCATTCCTTTAAATCTCTATCTACCTAAATGTATCTCTTTTTTACACTAGTTTTTTACTCTAGATACTTTTTTACTTACATACACTCCATCCTTCATTAATTTTTCTTGGGTCTTATTCTTTTAACTTATTCTCTCACATTTTATAATTATATTTATCTACACTTATTTTCTCCCAATATATTAATAATTTATTTGTTATTAATTTTTCATTCATTTTGCTTGTTCTTATTCCCTCAATATTATTCTTCCTTAGTTCCTCATGTATCTCTATTTATTATGAAATTCATGTTTTATAAGGTAGATTATATATTAAAAGTGCAGTTTGTCCCTATAAATTTACTTAAATATCCTTAATGAAATAATATAAAAACTAATTTTATTAAGAATATTTAAGTATATTTATAGTCCACCCTCTAATACACTTTTTGATTTATTATTATATATAAAATTTACCCCTCTCTCTCCCATGTTGTGTGCATAATTCTTTTAACTTTTATCTTGTTGGATATATTAAGAGCCTTTAAGGATTCTTACTTCTTACTTTATTATTTTTATAATTTTTTGGTGATTTAATTTAGTCTTTTGATAAATAGAATATCTAAACATTTTAAAGTTTGTTATACAGGTTATTTCTTTACTTTTAAGTTCTTTGTAAGTGCTCTTACTTCCTGCTTACACTAAGGAGCTAGGTTCATTTAGAACCTATTTTGTACTTTTTAAAATCATGTTTAAGGGCCATTTCCCATCTAATAGTTTATGTTTTATAATTCAATATGGTCTCGATTGCACAACAAATTTTCTACTTGTTAAATGGGTTTTTTAAGCTAATATAGTCATTATTATCAAGTTGATACACATCAATATATGTACTATAATTTGTAGCTACTCATAATCATTATTTAGAAATATATTTATTCAAAATTATTTACATCTCAATCATTACTCCCTTAGTCTTAGAAAAATAAAGTAAATGAGAATCAATTTGTGAAGTGTCACTTTGAATATAATATAATATGTATCTATACTAAACAAATTACATAATTGAAATAAAAATCAAATTATATATATATATATATTTAGGTAAGTTGTTTCGATATTAATATGTAGATATAAAACGTAGATTGTTATTTGGTAATTGAAATAAAATTTAGGAATAATTAGTTAGATGTTTAATATAATTAAAGTGTTATTAAGTATTATTATATGAA